TGACGCTGAGGCTTCGGTGCAACAGCACCAGTCCGACCAATTGGCCGATTATGAGGAGGCCGACGACGAGGTGTAGTCGGGCGCATAGCAACGTATCAGTTGCCAGGGAGGCCGTGAGCAGGCAGACGAGTTCCGGCAAACGCCGGTCCGTCGGTCCGACCGATGCATCGGCGTCGGGCGGAATTGCGTCCGCCTCGAAGATGGGCTTTTGAAGGCTTGTCGACAGGCGAATCTTCAAAGCCGAACAGAGGCAGATGATCTGTACCATGGCCAAGAGGCTGCCGAGCAGTCCAAGATGAACAGCCAGACTGTAGGCCAGCGAGAGAGCATCCCGCGATCTAGCCCGCCCGACCAGCAGACCAGCCCATCCGGTCACGGTCCAAGGGGTCAATGTCGACACGACCTGGACCCCGCGGCGCGGCACATTCGTCCGGCTCCTCTTCACCTCCGGCCAATCGGCCGCGCCAGACCAGCTCGATCTGTACCTCCCGCGCCCGCCGCCTCGCCCTACATCTGCCGGCCAGTCGTCATTCCGCCTCGTCTCCGAGACAAATCGGTTCGCATACCTGCCCTCCTCTTCCTTCTCCTCCTCTCCCTTGTCATCATCATCATCATCATCATCATCATCATCATTGTTGTCGTCATCGTCATCATCGTCGTCGTGGTCAGCAACAGCGGCGATTGCACTCGTCTCAGCGTCCTCTTCTGTCTCGACCAGTTTGTCCGGCACCGGCTTGGTCAGAGCTCGGCAGAGTCGTGTCCTCCTGTGACGGTGTAGCCCTGCCGAGGTCGTCTCATCTGCCGCCTCCAGATCGTCCATTTCCAGACTGTCCAGACGAGACAGTTCAACGGCAGCGTCGCAACGTCGATTCGCCTCAACGGCACGCCAGTCTTGCGCGGACAGTCGAGGCAGTTCAAAGAGATCGCCGGGCACTTCGTGTACCGGTTCATCCGTCAACGGTAGGCAACTGGAGCGCATCACTGCGGGCTTGTCAACTGCGTCGCGTCGTCGTGTTGCCAACCGCTGGTCAGCCCGACCGGCGGCATCACCGGCCAGTCGATGCCGACCCAATTGACAGAGACGACACGTCATGAGACCAACCAAGGCCAGATTGGTAACCAGGGCGACGGAGCAAAGGACCAGCGTGAAGAGTACAGTGTCCCAATAGACTGGCGGTCGCAACGGGCCCAACTCGACCGGCACCGAGGCGACAGAGCTGGACAATTGTAGATGCGTGGATAGGGCCGGTTTTTCCGACAACCGTACACTCGGCGATGGCGTCGACGTTGACGTCGACGTCGCCGTCGCCGTCGCCGTCGGTAGAGACGACGGGGTTGTCTGCGGTGGATCGCTGGGCGTGGCGTCCTGCAACCGGCGATGCCGGTCACCGGCGTCATCACGGACCAAGATGAGCCGACGACCCTCTGGTGGTCCCGGCGACCACTTGTAGACCGAGCCGTTGGGCGCCGTCAGAAGTCCATGCTCGCGCAGAAAGTCGTCCATCTCGACGAGTCGAGCTAGACGAGCTCGTCGAAGTCGCGATGCTCTCTGGCCGCCGGACAATCCGCCCCTGCCGACGAAAAGCCAAAGACCATGCCTGTTGTCGGCATCACCGACGAAATGGCGTGACATTTCCACGTCCTCTGTCCACCTGTCCCAGTCGCGGATCACTAAGGAATGCACAGAAGTGTAGAACTTCTATTCAAACTATGAG